TTGTATATTGGTACTATCATTGACTTGTATATTGGTACTAGCATTGACTTGTATATTGGTACTATCATTGACTTGTATATTTGTACTATCATTGACTTGTATATTGGTACTATCATTGACTTGTGTATTTGTACTATCATTGACTTGTATATTGGTACTATCATTGACTTGTATATTGGTACTATCATTGACTTGTATATTGGTACTAGCATTGACTTGTATATTGGTATTATCATTGACTTGTATATTGGTACTTTCATTGACTTGTATATTGGTACTATCATTGACTTGTATATTGATTTTATCATTGATTTGTATATTAGTACTGTCATTGATTTGTATATTGGTACTATCATTGACCTGTATATTGGTACTATCATTGACTTGTATATTGGTACTATCATTGACTTGTATATTGGTATTATCATTGACTTGTATATTGGTACTTTCATTGACTTGTATATTGGTACTATCATTGACCGGTATATTGGTACTTTCATTGACTTGTATATTGGTACTATCATTGACTTGTATATTGATTTTATCATTGATTTGTATATTAGTACTGTCATTGATTTGTATATTGGTACTATCATTGACCTGTATATTGGTACTATCATTGACTTGTATATTGGTACTTTCATTGACTTGTATATTGGTATTATCATTGACTTGTATATTGGTACTTTCATTGACTTGTATATTGGTACTATCATTGACCTGTATATTGGTACTATCATTGACTTGTATATTGGTACTATCATTGACTTGTATATTGGTACTATCTTTCACTTTTATGCATAATGTGCACAGTTCTCCAGTGACGTCTCAAGTTCGTGCGTGTCTTTTGATAGTTTTAAAAACTGATGTTTTCGTCAAGGTAGCATTTTGCTGGTAAATAAGTAGCCGTATCACCAGATCCAATGAATGAATATGCGTCACGTATTCGCAGTACTCGTAAAATGATTCACAAATTAAAATTTCTGATTGCCATCATTCAGGTCGGACTTTAAGTATGCACTTGGAAACATCATATTACTTCTTGCTGTGAACAGATATGCTTTCAAATTTAGGATAGGTACTGGGCAAGTTGCGATTTAATTGAGTAATATATTATTTATGTGTTTCTTCCAAATTAATTTCAGTTTTTACCTCTGCCCACTTGTTACAATTTCCGAATCTATTTTAGATGAAAAGTATTCTTAGCAATAACATGTGCTTGTGTGGTATATGTCTTCAGAGCCGTAGAGAGCGATCACGGGCCCCGTAGCAAGAAACAACCGTTTCTCTCCTAGTTCTTGTTCAAACAAAAGTTTTCTTTTAAAAAATAAAAAAGAGTAGTTCGGTCCGGGTCCTTTTACAACCCGGGTCCCAGGAATATAAAAGCAGTTGCCCCACCCACCCATCGTATGCCCTGTGTGTCTTCATGATATTTTTGTTAGAATTGAATGTTCTGTTAGAAATATGATATCACATTCCTACGTACCTGAGTTTCTGGTTAATCGTTGTATGCAGAAAATTCTAATACATACTGACATTTCTTATGAAAACTAGCCAGAAAGTAAGATGACAAATGAACATAAGATGTGTGAGTATTAATATTTTTAATGAAAGAGATGGGTGTTTTGCACAGCTCTTATAGTACTTCCCTCTGTGATTCAGCCATGTTGATGGTGTGGCTTGATAATGCAGCTAACGACGATGTATTTTCTGACGTCAGATCCTGTGCCGTACCCGACCTTGAGTAAGTCCTTCTAGACATGATAATGGAAAACAGTCTTATTTCTGGTTTGGGTGAATATCAGTGATATTAACATCATTCTTTTGATATTGGTGATATGGTTATTCAGGTTTTTTTTCTGTCAGTAAATAAAGAGGGGTTTTCATACCTTTTTTAGTGAAGTTTTATAGTTTGTTCTTTTTGTGTGTCCTATTAGACGGTAAATTGGCGACTTAGTTATCAATGTGGATTCCATGGCATATGCACGATCTGTGCACTTGTTATTTTATACTAGAAAGTTTATTTGCCCTTTTAATGGCAATATTTTTATATACTTTTTAAAAAAAGGTATTCCTTCTTTTCTCTCTAATGACAATGATAACTTAGTTTTTATTCCAATCGCAAGATTTTTCTTCTTTTGTGTCCATGAAGCTGTTGTCTTTCTTCTCTTTTTATGGCGAAATATTTATCTTTTCTTCCAATGTACAAGTATTATACCGCCGCTTATTTCAGTTCTATAGATGTCATTACTTTTTCTTATTTCATTTTGGTATTAAAAGGTTTTCTATATTTTGCATTATGCAGAAAGAACTATTATCTTTTCTATTTTATGGCAAGTTTCCTTTTCCGTGCAGATGTTTCTATTTCAGATTTTATTTGCAAGGTTTTCTAACCGCTATCTTAAACATATATTTTAATTTTTTTCAAATAAAATTAGCCCAAAGAGTGCGTGTTACTTGAAAGCATACCTAATAGCTGTATAATAAACTTTGATGTTTTATTGCATAAAAACAGATTAATAACTTTTTTGTATTTTGTTTTAAGTAACCGGGATGATGACGATTAAAGCAATGATATGCAATTTCTTCAAACATCTGTCTCAAGCTATTTATTTAAGTTTCCGTTAATTGGTATAATCTAGTGTATAAAACTGTGCACACGTCTTGGTAAGTCCTTCCTGAATCCCGCAGTGGTAATATAAGCTCAAAATAACTTCAGAAATACTTAGTGTGCATTGCTCTGATAAAGTTTGTCCTGATTGTTCGACTTTAACACCAATGTTCAATAATAATACCATATAGGTGAAATTACTCACAATGTTTGGACAATGAAAACTAAGCTGCATGCCTATGAAGCAAATTGCTTTCATTAATCCACTATGTGCTAATCGATGAACATTCGTTAAAAGCATTTCACTGATGGCTATCATTTCCTATTCATATCGATTCCGAAGTTCAGAAATGCGTAATATTTTAGTTTATATTATCTATCTATCTATCTATCTATCTATCTATCTATCTATCTATCTATCTATCTATCTATCTATCTATCTATCTATCTATCCATCCATCCATCCATCCATCCATCCATCCATCCATCCATCCATCCATCCATCCATCCATCCATCCATCTATCTATCTATCAATCTATCTATCTACCTGTCTGTCTGTCTGTATATCTATCTATCGATCTGTCTGTCTGTCTGTCGGTCGGTCTGTATGTATGTATGTCTACTTATATATCTACCTGTCTGTCTGTCTGTATATCTATCTATCTATCGATCTGTCTGTCTGTCTGTCGGTCTGTATGTATTTATGTCTATTTATATATCTACCTGTCTGTCTGTCTGTCTGTATGTCTGTCTGTCTGTCTGTATGTATGTATGTATGTATGTATGTATGTATGTATGTATGTATGTATGTATGTATGTATGTATGTATGTATGTATGTATGTATGTATGTCTGTCTGTCTGTCTGTCTATCTATCTGTCTGTCTGTCTGTCTGTCTGTCTATCTATCTATCTATCTATCTATCTATCTATCTATCTATCTATCTATCTATCTATCTATCTATCTATCTATCTATCTATCTATCTATCTATCTATCTATCCTCTTGATTTAAGCGTTGTGTTTAGGTCCTTATTCAAAAATTAAATATTGAGAGAATTACGGTAAAATTAAGCAAATAACGTGTTTATACATCTTTCGTTAAGTGTATGGCTTGGATTAGAGTGTCACAGCCTACTTGACTTTGTAATTCATGGACAATGTCACCTACATGGTTTGCATTTCCAACAGGTGTATTTCAGTTATCCTATCTAGCAAAGTCTCAAACTGGAACTTCGTTTTAGCATCGGAATTTATTTATTAATAATTATATTCAACGATACTATTCGTACTTCATGCTTTTTTCTAAATCAAATATCTGAAGATTAATAGACAGAAATCTACTAAGTTTTAATCGAAGGAGACTTTGATTTTGATTAGTTTGTTTTCAATCATACGTCAGGACGTTCAGACATCGTTACCACATTTTGTATCAACGATTTTAAGCGAATCATGCACGGTAAAAGTTTAGAGTTTCTTTAGACATCATAAGATTTGTAATGTTAGTTGTCTGTTTAATCTTCGTGATATTTTCAGTGATTTCATCAACCCATTTTCTGATGTTATTTTTTTTCTCTGACTTTCTTCTAGTTTTATTCTTCTCTTTCAATTTTTCGTGTATGTTGAACTTTTCATGAAATTTTGTACCGATAAATTGAATTTACTTTTTAAATTTACGTGGTAGCGATTTGGAAATAACTACTAGAACTATTTGTTGTCTTTTGAGATATGTTGTACCTTAACCTACTTCAAATCTGACATCTTTTGAAATTGTGACTCCCGAATAGAATACGGACGAGAAAAGGGCGGAGTAAAATTGTAAAGCTGACATGAATTTTCTAGTTCCTGATGGCAATGTTCTGTGATTTATTAAAGCTTCTGTTGTGGAACATCGATAGTTTGATGTGCATTTAACAAAACATTGGGACGGCGAAAGGCTTGGAATGGTGCTTATTAATTCTGGGCAATTTCTTGTGATTAAAATGTGCTTCCGTGTTCAACTGAGATCAATGAGGCCGTTCATTCAAGGCTGTCAAATGAAATCGATCCGATGCATTTACAAGTTATGAAAAGCTCGTAGTGATTCTTTTATCAAGATTTCTAAATAGCATTGACCATAATTATTTTCAGATCTTGAAATGTTTGGCGGTCTCTGCGATTGTGTATGATCCATAACTGTCAGGTCGGGACTGACATTTCTCAATTTTTTTAAAGTTTGTGTTGTATAGGACATGTGTCACATAATTAAATTATAACCGATCTTTTATTTGTGTTAAAAAAAACAGCAAATGGGCTTTGCCTCAGTATCCCCACACCCATCTCTAGTCCAGATAAACACGACATTGGTTATATGGACATAAAACTGTCCCATATATTTATTCGTTCATCACCGCTCCGGTGGACTAGTGGTTAGAGCGTCCGCCTCGAATGCGAAAGGTAACCGGTTCGAACCCCGGCCGAGTCATACCAAAGACTTTAACAATTTGTTCTAGCTGCTGGCTGCCTCGCTTAGCGCTTAGCATTAGGAGGTTATTATTATGACTGGTCGGCCTGGAGTCAGGATAATGTGACTGTGTGGGACATGATACTACATGCCTGCGGCACGGTGCCCCATTGCTAGATATCACTATAAACTGTCACACTGCAGACATCGTAACGATATGACTGAAGAAAAAAAAAATTAAAGTTACGTTAAAACTCTAAATCATACACACACATTGTTCATCTGTCTGTATTTACGTACATAACGTCATATATCCAGGCGTAAAGAAAAATAATTGAGGAATAAAACTACTCCAGGTTAAAATATTCTCAAAAATAGGCGTTTATGGATATGGCATCTTGTCCTGTAATCAATACTTAACTAGAATCGCACGAAATTTGTATAGATTGACCCGAGATATAAGGTAGGAAATTAATTGAAAAAGTAAATCATGAGCCCTCTTTGATGAGTACATACACCTTAATTTAGCAATACAAACTTACATGTCCTTCGCCATTGTCGAATGTTTATCTGAAGACTCTAATAAGCATTTGGGTATTAATAATCGCTCTGGTTGGTTCATTTGTTACAAATATTTAATCTTCCACCCATCTTTCATGGCGATTCAAGAGCACAGAAAGAAACTATTAACTGATCCTGTAATCGACACTCAGACACGTCACGTGGATTCAGTTAACATATTTCAATGCCATTTAAAAAAAGTTAAAGAAGCAAGCACAATGCAGTGGGTTGTTACTATGGCGGTACGTAGAGACAACACGGATTAGGTTATGTACATATCACAGAATTAAATTAGAGCCTCATGGAAGATGGTAAAGAGATACGGGACTAATTATTAGAGATTTGCACTTAATCGTAGCAAATTTGGAGTCTTAGGAGGTAATGGAAATACACTCCAGGTATTAAACCGACCCAACCGAGTCTGCACTATGCCGACTGCGACAAAGCCTCGGTCCCGCGTCCAGGCAAAGAAGTAAGTATACTGCCATATTTTATTTACCATCATTCAACCACCTAGCTTTGAATTTTGAAACATTTAAGATCTAATCCTATTTTAATAAATAATCATTAATCTCGAGTAAAGATTGTCGATAAGTTTCTTTTTGAAATGGTCGTCTTTACATGTTCAACCTGTTCAAAGAGTTTGACAGTTTGTTTTCCACTTCTAACATATAGAAGTGGCTAACATAAGGATCAGTTTGATGAAAAATTTCTAACAACTTATACTTGTTTGTTCAACCAATTTTCAGATCCATTTGATATAAATAGCCATGTAGACCAGATTTTGTATGTAATCAATTTATACATATCCAGAATTGAATATTCATTATTCAAGGTTAGATGTGTGGGGTATAAATATAAATAAATAAATAAATAAATAAATAAATAAATAAATAAATAAATAAATAAATAAATAAATATTTGATTCTATCCGGGATATAATTTGCGTTACATAATTGTACAAAAAGTAAAAATAGATGTCGCTTTGGCTTGTAGACTTTTAGGGAATTATACACCGTTTTCAGTTTCCGCAACTAGTCTATACAAGCTGGTTGTATTTATAGTTTTAACATATGTGGAGACAGCCATGTAGAGGTTTACAAACACAACGTTTTTGTGTTTATTTGTTTGTCGTATATATGTTTTGTATTTGCCTTTGAAAAAGACTCATTGAGAGTCGAAAGTGCTTAGGCTAGTTAGTTACTAGTTTCGTACTGTTCGTCGTCAGTTTATTGCATCTATTTTAATCAATATATATATATATATATATATATATATATATATATATATATATATATATATATATATATATATATATATATATATATATATATATATATATATATATATATATATATATATATATATATATATATATATATATATAACGACTCATTAAGAGTCGAAAGCCATCAGGCTAGTTAGTAGCTTTGCACTGTTCGTCGTCAGTTTATTGCATCTGACTTAATCAATCCCTGACACATGTGATCACATATATATATATATATATATATATATATATATATATATATATATATATATATATATATATATATATATATAAAATAAATCCTATGGTAAGTGATCACGTGTGTCAATGATTAATCGAGATAGATTCAATAAACTGACGACAAATGGTGCAAAATTAGTATCTAACTAGCCTGAGGGCTTTCGACTCTTAATGAGTCATTTTCAAAAGCATATACAAAACAGACAAAGCAAACAAATAAAACATTAAAAACGTTGTGTGTGTGTGTGTATGTATATATATATATATATATATATATATATATATATATATATATATATATATATATATAATGTTCCTGATTCATCATTATATTAAACTGTTATTTTACCTTATATTAAGATTTATTCTAACAATTCGACTCGTAAACAAATATATACAGGTCATTGTTTTAAAACTGTCTTATACTCGCGTTTAACTTCTTATACACTTGCTTAATTTTCTTACACCTCCTTTGAACTTTAGTTTGTTATTCATTAAATTAAATGAATCGTTTATAATAGTCTTCTTTGTTACGAACACAATCGTCATTGCATCTTTCCATGTTTTGTTCATTCGTTCGTTCGTTCGTTCGTTCATTCATTCATTCATTCATTCATTTTCCTTGTTTCAATCAAGTCCTGATCTCATTCTACGCACGTGAATAAATTCCACGTTAAGAAACAGTTGTCTTCGACGAAAAATGACGACTGATCTAGTTTCACTCTTTAATAGGGCGTTTATAGATATACATTGAGTTTTTTCATGCCCGCAAGTTAATTTTATTTTGTCTTTCATAATATTGAAACATGCATGTTTAATCTCTTTCGTTGTGATCTTGTTTCCTTTTTTCTTAATACCATCATCGTCGTGATCATCCGCATCGAATTTTGCTTTTGTCTTTATTCTTTACGTTTTTATTTTTTCTGTATTTTCTTCTTCCAATGTAAACATTGACTTATGATAACAACGGTATTTACATATAAATTAACAATTGTTTAATGCTTAATTACGTGCAAGGTTAATTTTCTTGGTAAAGTTTCTTAAACTAACTTTCATCTGACCTGACATCGATGGTCTTATTTATTTTAAAAGAACTATCGATTCTAGTATTATGCTAGCAAAGCAAATTCGTTAGCAACATCGTCTGCTGGCTTGTATGAATGCTAATAAAATATGTTCCTTGGGTTCACTTCAGAATCTCTGTGTGACATGCCCTATAAAGTTCATTTTATGAAAGCTTTAATGTAAATAATGGTTTTTATATAATGGTAAGTATTTCTTTCAGAGAAAATACCTTACTGAATGCATAGTCAATGTACAGTTGTCATTTGTTTTTCAGGCTTATAGATAGGTCATTTTACATTGCAGTGAGTTAAGTGCCTGGTCTTCTATTAAGTGCAGCCATTTATGACATGAAGTGAAAACTAATTTGTTATTATGCTACGTTATGCGTTATCCTTTTTCACCATTCTGTAACATTGTAAAGTTTTACATATTTACTGCTCCTCATTGGCTTAGAACTTTGCCATTAAATTTTACATCATAGTTACACTTTTATTTAATACAATTTAATTCTTCAATGTTTAACAAATCTTAAACAAACAATACAATGAAAATGTTAATGATTTTCTTTGGTATATAAAATGCAATAATAACAGATTAACTCTGTTGGTCAAGAGACACTAAGCAAACAGTTATTGGACCATTGACACAATTTGTTAAAATCGCACTGAACGTTATTTCTATATCTGCTGACAATACTATAACAAATGTCTTTGTGTCATCTGCAAAATTACGTAATTACTAACTTCTGTTTAACGTTTATTAATGAAGAAAATATTTATCTATAGAGACTGTAAACTAAATTAATGAAAATATTGGTAAATTGCCATAATATGTAAATGAAACACAAATTATAAAATGTTTAGAGACTCAATCAATTAAGACAATATTGATAAAATATTACCAATATTTACCAAGTCTTTATGACAATCACTATGATTGATTAAAATTGCATCTTGTAAATGTCACCTGTCTTCTGCCTCTGTGTGAGAAATTAACCGGAGGACTGTGCCGGATAGCAACAGCGTAAGCTTTATATTTCTCTTATTTCAGATCTGACGCCGAGGACGCAAAGAACATGAAGAAAGACAATACTTGGAACGTTTCGGTCAATACGGAAAGACCTAATATGGATGATGATGATGCACAGTAAATTACTTCAGTTTATATCTTATCCACTAAAGCACACAAAACGAACGGACACACACGCACACATACACACACAAACACACATACACTGATCAGTCACGCGGGTATACAACTCTTAGCTTGAGCTCTGAGATTAAGTTTCCACCATCAACCAACCAGAAACGACCCTATAAAAGTAGTCTGTTGTGATTGGTCAACATAAAATACCAAGCTTTAACTGAGTTGAAAAAAAAGTTAAACAATTTCTAGGTCCGTACATTCCCAATCTATAGCCATGCATAAGGATTGTTTTTTTTTTTTAATAGACTTATTTATTAACAGTATTTTACTGGACTTATTTTTAATTGTTTTTTTTACTGGATTTATTTATTAATTGTTTTTTACTGGTCTTATTTATTAATTGTTTTTACTGGACTTTTATTAATCTTGATCCAATTAGGTAGGTAAAGTACAAAATATCACGTTTTGCAGAAATACTCCTTATAATAATCAAATATTTCGATATAATATAAAAAAATATCCTTCATTTGATAAGTGTGATAATACGATTTATTAAGTGGCGAATAATTTGTGTAATAATTGATATACTAATTGAAACATGGATTAAAATAGTTGAAAATAGAGGCACAGAGTGGCCGAATGGTCTATAGCGCTTAACGTTACGGATCACTGCCATCTCACCTTTATCTGATTGGGTTCGAGTCTCTGGTCCTGCCACTGTGGGTATGTGAGAAACCTT